TCACGAGGCGATCAATTTCTCGGCCGAGAGCTAAAACGATGAAGAATTGATCGGCGCATAAACAATTTCTGCAGGGCTCTCCTAAGTTCGCGTCTCCGTTTTAATCTCTGGCGAAGCGATATTCAAAGCGTGTTCTCTACTAGCCTCGAGGCAATCATCACCCCATAAATCGCTGATTTCGACGGCGCGGTGGACGTTTACCGTCGCAATAATGATAAAACCGCCTCGCGGATCTAAGTCATCGGGATCTTCCTTTGGCAGAATTTACGAGGCTCCTTGGGAAACCCCGGCGGTCGGTCGTACAATTATAGTTACCCTTACAGTTTTAGCTCGAGGCTCGCCGGACCGAGCCGTAACGCCGATTTTATTGTAATTTGAATTTATCGTCGACGGTCGATGCGACTCGCGGTCCCCTCTTCCAGAACCGTCGGTCTTTTTCCGTTGAAAGGGATCGCGCTTGGAAGCAAAGAGCATAGAATGAAAGGGAACAAATTGCTGGGAAAAAATTATCAATATTTATATTGTATTGTAATATTTGTATTATGTATATTATGTTATATTGTATATTTATATTATCAATTGTTATTAATTATTAATTTATATATCTATGCAAGGGTCTTACGTTATTGTCCAACGTTCTACAATTTTATTTAAGGGTGTTACGATATTGTCCAACGTTCTACAATTTTATTTAAGGGTGTTACGATATTGTCCATGGTTTTGCAATTTTATTTAAGGATCCTACAATATTGTCCGAGGTTTTGCAATTTTATTTAAGGGTCCTACAATATTGTCCAAGCTTTTGCAATTTTATTTAAGGGTCCTACAATATTGTCCAAGGTTTTGCAATTTTATTTAAGGGTCCTACAATATTGTCCAACGTTCTACAATTTTATTTAAGGGTCCTACAATATTGTCCAAGGTTTTACAATTTTATTTAAGGGTCCTACAATATTGTCCAACGTTCTACAATTTTATTTAAGGGTCCTACAATATTGTCCAACGTTCTACAATTTAATTTAAGAGTCCTACAATATTGTCCAATGTTCTACAATTTTATTTAAGGGCCCTACAATATTGTCCAATGTTCTACAATTTTATTTAAGGGTTCTACAATATTGTCCAAGGTTTTAAAATTTTATTTAAGGGTCCTACAATATTGTCCAACATTCTACAATTTTATTTAAGGGTCCTACAATATTGTCCAACGTTCTACAATTTTATTTAAGGGTCCTACAATATTGTCCAACGTTCTACAATTTTATTTAAGGTCCCTACAATATTGTCCAAGGTTTTACAATTTTATTTAAGGGTCCTACAATATTGTCCAACATTCTACAATTTTATTTAAGGGTCCTACAATATTGTCCAACGTTCTACAATTTAATTTAAGAGTCCTACAATATTGTCCAATGTTCTACAATTTTATTTAAGGGCCCTACAATATTGTCCAATGTTCTACAATTTTATTTAAGGATCCTACAATATTGTCCAAGGTTTTGCAATTTTATTTAAGGGTCCTACAATATTGTCCAACGTTCCACAATTTTATTTAAGGTCCCTACAATATTGTCCAACGTTCTACAATTTTATTTAAGGGTCCTACAATATAGTCCAACGTTCTACAATTTTATTTAAGGGTCCTACAATATTGTCCAACGTTCTACAATTTTATTTAAGGATGTCACAATATCGTCCAACATTCAATAATTTCATTTAAGGATAACTACCGGACAAGTCGAGATTTGGCAAAGAAATATGAATCCCGACAAAAATATGAAAGCATCGGTCCCTTCGTTCTTCGCGTTCGTCTTTTCCGTGTCACTATCGGTTTATGCGCGCAGTAGTACGCGTCGGGAAAAGTTCGACGAGAGAGGAAGACCAAAAGCGCGACGGTTTCCGAGTGCTTGTACGAAAACTACGGGCAAGTGTCCCGCGGAATACTTTCGGATGGAATCCAGGCCAGAAAAAAGTTGGATCGGTCTCGTGTTTGCGTTTGCGTATGTGTGCCCGGCCGTTTCGTTTTTCCCGGCATTCCTTCGCCGTCCGGCATAAAACAGCGTATGCTCTTTATACCGTATGCCGGCTATGCTTTCGGATAGGTGGTTCCGCCGTTACGGCTACTACCGGGAACGTCTGTTTTCTACGTGACACGCAAGTCAACCCACTATTCCCCACGCATCCACGAACTAGCGCTCGAATGCTTTGGCCATTTTCTACCGTGGCATTGCGGCGCGCGGCGGCGCAAACATTTTCTAGGACGATAGAAATTTCGAGCGAAATATCCGGAGGAGTCGGTTTTGCTGAAAATTTCACTTGTGATCTCTTGATCATGGGTGATCGTTAACCCTTTGCGCTCAAGCGGTGACTCTGGGGCACCATTAACACGTTCCGTGCCACGTGTACCATCGATGGTACACGCTTGCATGTTTACTCAGTGAACCGAACAAATTGTTTACAAGAAATTTAGAACCGAAGAATCAATTTCCACCGCAAGAATGGGCGTTGATAAGTTTTTGTTACGTTGTTACGTGTACGAGAATTAATAATCGCACGTAATACATCGAGTTTTAGTAAAATATCAAAGTGTGAAGATTCGAGTAAAAAAAGCTCGGCACGGAACGTGTTAAAATTGTTGAACATCGCGCTCCAAGATAATTTTTATATTGTAAAAGTCTAGACGTAAGAAATTGTAAAAAGCCTAACCGTTGTACGAGTCGCAAGACTATGAATTTCGTATGCATAAGATGCACAGTTTGTCATATAGAATGGAAGTACCATAAGTCAGAAGAATTCATTTCGATTTACAGTTGAAATGGCTTCGAGTGAAAAGGGTTAATTTTCTTTTGCATAACAACAGTCTTTTTAGCGACAATTAGAGATTGTTCGTATTAGCCGTGAATAATAAATAGTTGCTATTGAAGATAGAATGACCGTTTATGTCAGCCATAATTGATCGACAATGATCGGCAACGATGAAAAGAAAGTGTCCACTAGCAATCGCTTTGCGATTCTTTATTAACCCTTTGCAGTCGAGTGGTGACTCTGAGGCAGCACTAAAATTTGTTATATCATCTTTCAAGATAATTTGACAAACATAATGATTATATAATATGATATGATATAATATAATATAATATAATATAATATAATATAATATAATATAGTATTAATATATAATATATATAATATAATATAATATAATATAGTATTAATATATAATATATATAATATAATATAATATAATAATTTTTGACAAAGTTTAGATTTTAAAAAATTGTTCACAGTGTAATTGTTGCGCGAGTCCTAAGTGTCAATTTCACATGCATAAAATGCATTTTCTTATATAAAGTAGAAATACTATAAGTTAGAAAAATGATTTTATATTTTCACTTAAAATAGCCTCGAGTGCAAAGGGTTAATAACCATTGTTGGTCATTATATTGACCCTTGACGATCATTTTCATAAGTAACGATCATTTAGAATCAGCAACTATTATTACTCGATCATCAGCGACTACGGGTAGCCACTCTTAATTAACCATCGAATCGATTCGCCAACTTAGCTGGTCACACGACCAATGGTCGCAGATAATTAACTCCTCCTCGGTAATTACTACCGATGACCTCTAGCCAAACCGGTAACTGTTTTACGTGCTTTCCTACGTTGCTCTAATTTTAGCGGATCTGTAACGAACGCGACGTTTCATCGGAGGGAACACCAACGTGAATTTATAAAGAGACAAAGTTGAGCGCGGTCTTCTCGCGAGGTTCTCTTATTAGCGAAGAAATTCTGTGACGGCGAGTGTGTTCGAAGGCCTCCAAGACTTTCAAGCCTTTTAAATACTTCATGACCGAACTTTGAAGGACCTTCACATGACTAAACCGCTTGAAAACTGCCTACGGAGGCAGAGAGAGAGAGAGAGAGAGAGAGAGAGAGAGAGAGAGAGAAACAGACAGAGAGAGAGAGGGGGGGAGAGGGGGAGAAAGAGTGAAAGAGAGAAAGAGAGAGAAAAAGAGTGAGAGAGAGAGAGAAAAAAGAGAGTGAGAGAGAGAGAGAGAAAAAAGAGAGAGAGAGAGTGAGAGAGAGAAAGAGAAGACAATTCAGGGTGTGCGTCATTAACTTTCGATGCATCGCAAAATTACGCATACTTTCTAAACGGCTATTCAGAACGTTATTACGCGATCGTAAATCACAGAGCAGCTCACGTGCCGATACGCGAACTATAATTACACCCGTGATAACCGGAATTAATATTCCGTCGGTCGATTCCTAAATTGATCAAACGTATTAACCGCGCGACTCGAGAATGGCGCGAATACCGCGACGAGGTCCGCTCTAAAATCCCGCGCATTTTCCAACGACGTTCCGAAAAGCGAAACAAAATATAAGAAAAAAACAAAAAAAGAAAAAAAAGGAAACGAAACGTTCCGTCGAAATTTATCGCGCGTCGCAAAAGGATATAACGCGCAACTAGGTGCTGTCAGGCGAAATTCTACTACGCAGTAAACAAAAAAGAAAAAAAAACCGCCAAAGCGCGATTCGAACGAGCGTCCGCACGTCCGCAGGATCGAATAAACAAAACAGTTTGATTCACGAGAGAGGCTCGCGCGCGGCCCGTTTCCATTCATCGTTTCGTGGAACCGGATATGTACATAGTACGATGGCCGAAAAATATCGATAGGTTAATCTTATTTTCGTGACACAACAACGTGTTTCACGTTGACGTATCTCTGCTCGAAAAATACTCGAAATATTCCGACAACAATCGTGATTTATCCGATACCGCGCGTATATGTACAGTCCGTGACACGTTGTACATCGTTTCATCGTTGGATTCAGCCAATTCGATAGAATCGATCTACCGTTTCTGGATTCTAAAGTAAGATCGATTCAAATGGAAATACTATAACGAGAGAACCTAATAATACGAACCCGTCGTTATTTCGGTCGCTGTATAATTAATCGAAACTATATATGTCGGATTATGTGTACTCACAGTTTGGTGATGTTCACGAGCGAGACGACCGGGTCCAGTGGCTGCCGGATGGACAGGAATCCGGCTCCCCGGCAAACAAACTCCCGTCCGTCGCCGGTGACGTTGCAGGGATCGTGCGAGGACCCGGGCTGCTCCTCGGCGGAGCAAACACGGCAGAGGAACATCGCGATAAGGACAGCGGCGACGGCGGTGTACTGCGTGCACATGCCGGCCAGCTTGCTACCAGCCCTTTTTCCTGCCGCCTGAGTCGCCGCACGCCGCGCCCAGGACCACGTAATTGTTTCACACTTCACCGCATTCTAATCGGTGGACACGATCGCGAGAGGAGACCGTTATCGCGCACAAAACAGGCCCGTCTGCTCTGTCCGTTCTCCGACGAGCTTGCACGGAAGCTCTCGAACCACTCGCACCCTTCGACTCGCTTCCAGCGACTGAACCACGCGACACGGATTCCGTTCACCGACTGACAGCCCGGCGCTACGTGCCCGACCGCGCTGATTCGCCCTCTCCCTCCCGCCAACCACCGTCGCCGGGATCGCCGCCCCGAGCCAATCAACTTTCTCCGTCTACCGATATGCCGTCGGTAATAGACTCGCGGCGCAACGCGGGATCCCCGCGTCCTGCCGTATATAGAGATCCGATCGGTCCTTTTCCTTTCAACCTGTTTGCCGGCGATCGAGCGGCCGATCGGTCTCGCTAACCGGTTCGTAATTCGTTCGGTTATGGAACGTTTTCCGAATCGTAGCAATTTATTGGAAGCTCTTTCAATGGAAAGAAAACTTCTTGCCGATGTGGTACTTTAATGTCGATACTATGTCGAGATTTTATCACGCGGAAGCAACGAAACCCTCGATTCGGTTAATGCGATACGGGCGGCGTTTATTATCGCAGATAAGATAATTCACGATAATTCATCGAATTTCGGTGCACTTCGGACATTAATGGACATTTGAAATTGTCGAGTTCAATGTTGATATTCGTTCGGAAATGTCAAGCGTGAAAGTTACTCACTTAGATTGTCGGTATTTACGAAACGAAATTCAAATTGTTCGGACTCGGAAAAAGGCGCCGGAAGTGCCATCTCTGGGACACCTACGAAGAACACTCGAGATTAGTAATCGGTAATTTTGGATGTTCGATGATTTTTTTTTTTTTGAAATGTAATCGAACATGTACGTGACCCTTGTTTTTTTTCTGTACAATTAAAATTCGGTCGAGAGCTTGTCTAAGCATAAATTATATATATATATTTTTTTGTTTGTTTAAAAAGTCACATAACATGATTTTTACAATTTCCATCTTAGCGTTCTAACGCAATACTGTTCGAGTTAGTGTTCGTTAAAAACTACAAGATCGCGAGATTTTTAAACGCACGATTCACTGTTGCAAATAACTTAATCCAGCCGGTGTGTATCAGACGTTGTTGAGGTAGCGAATATATTCGAATTTATTCTCGAGAATCACGCCTACTGACGAGCGCATCGGTGGTAGAAGAAAAGAAAGTTTGTGTTCGTGGCTTGGTTTATATGTTATTATACAAAGTATGCTGCCAATTGATCCATCTTATCTTTAGGAGGACGAGGTTTCCCTCGACTGCGACCTTTCGCGTGTCCGCGATTCCGGGTCGTGACTGGTTTCGAAGCGATCGCCCTGTGTTTCTCTACCAGAGAAATAAAAGCTGGTGTACAAAACACGCAGCCGCTCATCTCTGTCGCTTCATTGGGAAGTTTAGTTTTCTCCTGCAATGAAATATTTTATTAATATAGCACCAAGTTGTCTCGATTATCGTCAGAGATGAGAACCGCTGCTATTCGGCGAAGCAAGGTTCCTAATATTTCAGTATTTGTTCGTCGCGAGCATAACATTACGTAGTGTCCTGAATAGCAACGCATCCTTGAATATAAGCAGATCTCTGTTTCCAGCGTGGCAGTTAAAATTGATTGCTTTACCTGTTTATACTCCACAGTGACTAACTGCGCGCCGCAGTCGCACACATCGGTGTCGACCATTACTTTATGGGCATTTTCGAATAAATGAATAAGAACGTCGCAACGGTTGCAGCCCAATTTCCATTTCGGTGCAGCCGAAGGATCGAGCACGAGTATACCCGAATCGCACTCGAGGCAACTCGACAAACCGTTCGAATTCATACCGTGCGGACAGGTTGGATGCGTACACGAATTGCAACCGCTCGTTCCCTTCTTCATATCCCTGGACATTTAAACATCGTACGCTGAATCCGATCTACGATTACTCGCGTTATGGTATCGAATAATTACCTAAACGGTGGATTGTTGTAACAATACGGGCAGAACGTGTAGCTCTTCCCCCGAGCCCCCGTGGACCAGGAAAGCAATTCGAAATCGTCCAACGGACACTTCAGTTCCTTATAAATCCTAATGTTTCCATTCTGTGGAAGATTGTAGGTTTCGTTGCAATGCACACAGTGCATTCTTGACGGTTTCGTTTGTATATATTTCATGTAACGTCGGCATTTTCCACATCTGGAATGCGCCTTTCCCGACGCGGAAAGGGGCGAAAATGAGACCTCGAATAATTGGTCCATCGCTTCTATACTGTGCACAAAGTACTTGAACTTTTGTTTGAATATTTCCACCGTGTGCTGTAACACAGCATGGTAATCGGCTCGTCCCTGAGCTATCAGGTTCAGCTGTTCCTCGACGGCTGATCTCATCGTAGGCAAGACCAAGTCGGGGTCTATCTAATTTGTGAAGAAATCGATATGAAGCGAATCACATAATTTGTATAAATTACAGAAATTCGTACCTTTTGATAACCGTGGACCAACACGATTCCTAAAGAAGTCGGTATCAGTTTCCTGCCTCCTGAAACGTTCACATAATTTCGCATACATATATTGTTTATATGTACCGGTATTGAAGCATCAGTTCCTATCCCGTGTTTCTCCATCAAGGAAATCAATTCCGCTTCCGTCAAGTAATCGGGCGGTTGCGTGTAGCATTCGAGCAACTTTGTCTGTTACGAATTATACGAATAATTTCTCATTAGGCTCGTTAAGAAATAACCAATATTGATTTCTCGCAATCACCTCTTGTATGTTGACTCTTTCGCCAGGTGTAAATTTAGGTAACGTGTCGTTACTACCGAGTGTCTGCCACGTGAGAATACTGGTGTATCCAGGATCCAACAAGCTATGCCCGTTCGCGGTAAAAGTTTCCATCCCTATTTCGAATCTCGCCGTTGTACTTAGATATTTACAATCCGGAGCTAACTAGAAGGTTTCAAATATTTAGTATCTCCTCATTGAAATGAAATACTATGTACTATGAAATATATAATAATATATAATATAATATAATATAATATATAATATATACTATATACTATGAAATACTATAACTGGGTATACTTACAGTGGCGATAAAATGTCGCGTAATGTAATCATACAGCCTCCACAAATCTCCATCGAGTTCGCTTCTTGTGGCGTGTTTCATTGGGGTGATGGGAGGATGGTCCCCGGCATTGTGTCCTTTCTTTGGTCTGTTAATACCGTTGGCTAATATTTTACGAACTTGATCTCCCCAGTCTGAACTGTTCTGTTGCTGCTTGAGCGTTGCACTAAACGCAAAAACATTTCATACATTAGCATATACCGTAAAAATAAGTGAGTAGAAATAATTATCATCGCAGAACTTACGCTAAATCAAAGTTCTCCGGGTACACGGTAGTCTCAGTTCGAGGGTAACTTATGTATCCTTGTATGTAAAGACGTTCTGCTATTTGCATGGCATGATGCGGTCCCATTCCCAACCCTGAACTCGCTACCCTCATTAATTCTACTGTGTTCAACGCTATCGGTCGTGATTTCGTTTTCTCCACGCTGTCCACGCTTAGCACGCTGGATTATATAATTCAATAAATGTTTCAGCATATTTATAATTTTATAACAAATCTTCCGAGTTGTTTAAATACTTACGTCGCTTGCTCGTACTCCTTCACATGGCTGAGAAACACATTCGCTACCTCCTTGTCGAAGGATCGCACACGACCCCAACTTAAGACAACGTCTTGACCATCGGAAGACTTTACTGTAACCTTGAATGGATTTTATCTCCTTTATACTGAATATTCAAGTTGATTTAGAAGAAATACATTCTGGAGCGTAGAATCGTGATTCTATGGAAAAAGTGATTATACCTGTAGAACCCAATAGGCATCAGGCTTGAACGTTTGAATTTCGTCGTGCCTCTGTACACAGAATCCTAGTGTTGGTGTTTGGCAAGGCCCGTAAGAGATAAGCGATACGTCTAAATCTCCATATTTTCCCTGAAGAAAGAAAGAAACCAATAAATGTGATCTATGTTAGAAACATTAATATATTAATCATATTTTTTAATTGTACCTGAAAAAATTTTGTCTGAAACCTGGTAAAAGCGCAACCAATTCGCAAATCTAAGTCTTGCCTGGCATCGACGCTTTTAGCCTCATTCTCATTTGGCTTTATTAAGTTGCCCATTGCAGCTTTAATATCTTTCTCCGTGATGGCAGAAAATCTTGCTCGCCAAATGTCCTGAAATAAAAGAAAATTTTCTAAATCAGTACGACGTTAAAATACGTTTAAGTAATGTTAGTAAGAAAAGCTTACATTTGGATTTAATTTCCTGCTTGTCCCCTGTTGCACTGCACAGATAACTTCGAAACAGATATTTTCACCTTCTTTGTCACAATCCAGCCATAATATTAAATAATCACAGTGAGCTCCTTCCTTAGCGAGGAAATAAGGGATTTTTAATCTAGGAGCTGCCTCTTTCTTTTCGGTCTGACACGAAAATAACTCTGCCTTAAATAAGCCAAAAGAATAACTCTACATTAATACATACGCGAGCAAATTTTCTAAACACCATTTCAATTGTACATATTTTTCTCTTACAGGGTCCACTTTGTCCCAATGATTATATTTCGCAATGAAATCCAAAGTCATAATATGACCGCAAACAGATGTCATTTTAAAGTTTACTGTTTCAGATCGAAACTGGCCTATCCATTCGTGCACAGAACACGATCCGTTTAAGCCTGAAATACGTAGGATTAATATTCAAATTCGAAAAATAAAATTAAATCAGAAGCTTGCTCCGATTATCGTGAAATTTAACCTACCTTTTCTAGTAGTGCATCGTCCGTTACTTAGAATATTGGCCAGCGAAGCTGCCAGAGACGGTTTCTCAGCAACCATAAAAGCTGTCTTCATTTTGATATCAGTTATCGCGGATGCGTATAATTTTATAACAAAGTTTTAATTTTTATTATGACAGCGTGACTACATAACGCACCAAGTACCGATAGCTTGAACCACACGTGTAATACGTCGCACATAAAACCGATCTTCCAAGGTAATTAATTTATTGTATATTAATTAATTATCTGCTTCTTTCTCTTCTGATTCGATACAATTATTAATTGTACTACTTTATTGATGCAAACTCGGACGACAGCGATACATAAATACTTGGGTGAACACAACCTCCTATTTTTTGATATGATGCAAACTTGCCAACCGTACGCAACAAGTTTATAATTTCGTTCAAATACATTATTTCATGTTACAGTTAAAAATCGTTTAATTCCATATTCCGTCTCTGCTGCACGAAATATTCAGAAAGTACAACAAAGATAAGTTTTATTTACAATTACTCAAAAAAATTGAGCGTACACCCACGTTCATGATGAAAATTAGCGGGAAAATGAATGAAAAATCAAAACAATTCGAACACGAAAATACAAGATTAAACTAGAGTTTCATTTTTGTTAAATACAGACAAAAAGTTCGTTGAATTAAACAATTTTTATATGAACTATTCGTTAGAATTTACGAACGAAATGCGTATTGTATTTTTGTTTCTCAATAGTCAAACGAAACCAAACGAAAACAACGCAAAATATAATTAACTAAGACTAGAGTTCAAAGGGCGACTATGTTTGTTTCGCAATGTTCTTGTTTGTTCTTTTATACGATATCGATGCAGTAAATTCTACTGACCAATTCTGTGCTCTTGATTTATTTTATTATCCACTAATTTTGCCGTAATTAATGTTTTAAAATGAGGGCGACAGTGACGCCTCTGGCGGAGAAACAGTGAAGCTCCTTTCAGCGTCCGTACAGCGCCAATTACACCAGCGGCAAAACGCTCAAACTGTTAGCCAAAATTGGCCGTTGGTAATTTGGCGAACAGTTTGAGCGTTTTGCCACTGGTGTAATTGGCGCTGAACGAACGCCGAAAGGAGCTTCACTTTTTCTCCACTAGAGGCGTCATGATCGCCACACATACGTACACTGCATTGTTGCTTGAAAACACTTTAATTTCTAAAAGATTTTACAAATTGTAAAGCGATCGTTAATAAATTTATTAGAAAAAATCCCCGACAAATTACACTCAATGGAATTTACTAACAAGCTTGATTATTAATGCTGAAATTTAATTTGAAATCCCTCGCGGTTCTGTCAAATTGACGTTGACATTGACAGTCAATCGCAGTTGACCAGAAACAATTGAGTTATTGAATATCTAAATTGTACTCTTAACCATGAACTCATCTGTTTCTAATTCGATAGCATTGTTTCTGTAGATAGATACTTTAAGAATCTGAATCAGTGCGAAGAAAGCTGATAAGGTTTAGAAATGTCAAAAACATTCTCGATATATTACTACACGTGAGAGTCTTTTTAATCATTTCGGGCTTGTGACTCATCAGTTCGTAACCTCCGCGTATCTTGTATTTGTGATATTAGTATCGTAATTTATCGAAAGTCAATCTGTAAAGACAATAAGATATTGTTGCAAGCTATTCAGGATACAATTACCTACAAAACGGTTTAATAATTCAGGTCTGTCTTTACTGTTGTGTATTTGTACACTTTATTATTATTATTATTTATTTATTAAACGAGCCAATTTCCCTTTAGATTAAGGAATATAATACGAACAATGATTTAGTTAAAGAGTATATTGTGTTAATTGTGTTGGAAGATTTGAGAATCATAGTGTTTTTGGTGGAAACATGATAATAGTAATATAGAACTAATACTCATTAAATAATATTTTATTTAATGGCTTATATATTTATTTTATTTGTAGTGAAACAAATTTGCTGACAATTCTTCATCCAGAACCATGGAGTGGTTGTTCGGAAAACGAATTACTCCCGAGGAAATGCTCAGGAAGAATCAGAGAGCTTTGAATAAGGCGATGAGAGACCTAGATAGAGAAAGAATGAGGATGGAACAACAAGAAAAGAAAATTATACAAGATATAAAGAAGCTGGCCAAAGATGGACAAATGGTGATACAACTTAACTTTGTGAAATCCATCTTATATATATTTATTCGATACCTACTGTTAGCGTTACTATTTCATAGGATGCTGTAAAAATTATGGCAAAAGATCTCGTGAGAACCAGACGTTACGTGAAGAAGTTTATGTTAATGAAAGCGAATATACAAGCGGTCTCATTGAAAATACAGACGTTACGTTCGCAAAATACAATGGCGCAGGCAATGAAGGGTGTTACAAGAGCAATGCAGAATATGAACAAGTGATATTATTTTCAATATTTTACTGATATTTAGAATGAAACTGCATTTCACGCTTTTACAATGTCTAACGTATATTACCGTTATAGGCAACTGAATCTTCCTCAAATTCAGAAAATATTGCAAGAGTTTGAAAAACAATCAGAAATAATGGATATGAAAGAGGAGATTATGAATGATGCGATAGATGATGCGATGGAGGATGAGGGAGACGAAGAGGAAAGGTAAAATAAATGAAAAAATTGTAAATCTAGATGTTACTGGTAATCCTTTAACCGTTTCACTTGGTACTTTCAGCGATGCCATTGTATCGCAAGTTCTCGATGAACTGGGTCTGCAATTAACGGACCAATTGTCTGGTCTACCACAGGCGTCAGGTTCGCTAACTGTAACTGGTACAAGGCAACCGGTTGCAGCAGCTGCCGGATCCGACGATACTGGAAATCTTGACGCAGACGCTGATTTGCAGGCCCGATTGGAAAACCTACGACGTGAATAAATTGCATACAGTGTTGATTGTTGAAAGGTGTATAAAGTATGTAAAAACAAAGATTAATTTTGTAAGCATATTTCATTATATATGCTGTACGTCTTTAATTAATTGATCGATTGGATAGTATAGGTGCGTGATTTGTAAATATATAAGAATAACGTTATTTCTACAGTTGCTTGAAGCGATTCATTTGGAGCTGGTACACACAGAATGGCACCTACTATTTTGCCTACAGTATTCATTAAGAAAATGTTAAGTTTTTCAAAATAAAAAATATCAAATAATGTTATACCAATGTAGAAAAGAATCAGTGTATCTTGGTGTTCTTGTGCATACTTTTTTTAGCACAAGGAATTTTGTAAAGAAGTCCGTTACAAAACTGCTAATCGAATATACATACTGTAACACAAATACTTACTGTATTTTCATAATTACGTGTACATAACTTTTTGTGGAAACTTTGTAGTTTATGTATATGTACATATGCTTTCCTTTTTTTTTACCACGTTTAGTACACCTTCTCTTAAAGCGTTTAAGAACTGATCTAATAGTTTTGATAAGAAAAAAAAACGAGCAACAAAATATATATGTGATTCTTTACACTAAATATAGAGAAGCGAACGCGATATATAATAAGCTTTTGCATTGTTTTTACCGAAACATTTTTCAGCGACTCTCCCAAGAATTGCTTCCAAAATTAATAAGACACACAAAGTGATAAGCTTATTAAATTGCGGTATATGTTACGAATGAACGAAGTTACTCGATGGACTCTACTGAAATAAAATAGTGCAATAGTTCCATATGACATACAGTAAATAATAGTTACATGTTACATACATATATATATGAACATCTTCATTATGGTGATATAATTGAAAACGTTGGAAAAATTAGTTTAATAAATGAAACAAAACCACAGTTACTTGTTCAGTCTATTTTGCCATACCTACTAGATATTATTATTAAGTTTCTAAACTTAACCATTAATTTGTGAAACACAATAAAAAAAAATGATTACACGATCCATTAAAAAAATATAGCTAATTGTTTAGGGGGTGGGGGGGGGGGGGGGG